ATGGCATGTCTGCCATGATCTGATACCTTAACCACAGGGCTATCGCAGCCCCCATTTCGCCATTGGAATGTGCTTCTAAATAACTGTGCATATTTTTTATCATGTTCCTCATTTCGAATGATATGGACACAGGAGATGCAATATTCATTTCATTTTCATCGTCGGAATAATCATCAATGATATTTTTCGAGCTTTGAAAAAACTCTAATATATCTTTTTCTGCCATAATTGGGGCTGTACACACATTGCCATCCTCGACTGCAACGAATTATTTTGATGATTTTCGTGATTCTTCCACTGGATAGGACAATCTAATCCAGCTGTTTTCCGTATTTTTTTCATTCCCAAAAGAGAAACCTTTTCGTGTTAAGTGATTTTCGGTTCGTGTTGAGAGAAAAGAATACATGAAAATACATAGTATTTTGTCGGGACCGCTTTATTATTCCGTGTTAAGAGGACACAGTACGATTCAATTGACAAAAATCGTTCAAAAAATCAAGTCTAATTTATTTAGCCGAATTAATTCTTTATATACGTTTCTATAACCTCACAAAAGTTGAAAGCTTTTAACTTAAAATACGCAGAATTATGATAGCTTTTATTTCGTATTTATTTACATCCCTATGACAAATCAAAAATTTAAACTGACTTACCTCAGAAAAATAAAATAGCTAGTTTGTCTTCATTTAAAATGCCAAGGAATTTTTTCTATTGTGCCTAATGCTTCGATTTTTTTTTACCTATTGCTAATAGTTCATGCAAAAACAGTTGGTATGCATTTTTGAATCAAAACAATACTTATTTTTTTAACAATGATTGAACTCGGAATTTATACATTTTTTAAGGAATTTTCAATAAGCATTCATAAAAAGAAGTATTGTATGAATACACCAACCATGTTATCACAAAACCTATATCAACTTTTGTTATACATAGTTTAATGTACTTGTAAATCAAATTTCATGCATATACGTAAAATTTGTAGAAGTAGCACATTTTAAAATCACAAATTTTAAACTTTTTCCTTAAAACATTAAATAGCCAGCTTTTTATGAGATTTTGAGCACAAAATCTGTTTTACATAGTATGCGCACACATGAGGCAACCAAAAAAATTTTGAAAATCCTTAAATTAAAAATCTTTGCTTAAATCATATCATGTCCCCTTAACCAATATTTCGTCTTAAGCGATTTCGTGTTAAAACAGTTTCACTGTAGTTCAGCCACGCCACCTTTATTTCAGTTTAATGAACAATCATTCCAAAGTGAGAGATGTCGAATGTTCATTGAGATCTCCGAACTCGTGTTTCATAAGTAGTGTGTTTACCTAGGGTTTCTCTCTTATTGACCAAAAGGAAAGCCCATATTGTTTGAACAACGGTATTAAGAATACAGTCGGATTTAGTTCTGTAGTTGTCGATTTGAAGTAGTGCCGAACCAGAATATTTGCAAGTGCGTTGTGAATATTTTCGAGTGCATTGTTCATGCACCTTGTGAGAATTTGGTAAACTTTTCTGCAATATATAACTATCGAGAACTGCGGTTTATTCTCTATTGCTTACGGTCTCTTCTCCTTAAGCATTGTTTGTGTACAAGGCACACTATAAGTTATTGTTTTCAGAGTACAGTAATACACCGAACTTGCACTATAGGTGGGGCTGAATGATAACAGCGTAAGTCGAATTCGCTTATAAATACATGTAATAATTCCAATAATCTGTAATAACTCTTGAGTTATTAACGTCCAGTCCTTCAGGACAACCATGTAATTATTTTAATTGGTTACCCGCCTACCGGGACTTAAGAAACTATCTCCATCCACCTCCTAAAATCACTTGACGTCTGGTTGCCTTTAAATACCGAGAACTGGAAATCACGCGCTCTCTTCTCTTCTGATCTCGCCTCTCTGCAATCATGTAACCAGCCGGCTGCCACGCGTTCTGTGTTTGTGCCATGATGTTTGCTTCTTGTTATGTGTAATGCCGTCCCTACTTGATTTTTGTGTGTTTCTAGATGTGAATAAACTGGATTATTGATTTACATGAGTGCCTCTTAGATAATACAGTACTATACCACTCGCCACGTAACACAGGAAAATCCCACAACCGGCCACGCCCTACCTTTGGTTCGCCATTCATTAAATCAACCACTCGACACGACAAATTATGGCATACTATAAGTTTTCTATTTTATACATATAAATTATTTTTAGTTGGGATCAAAGACAGAAGAAAAGAACTATTAAGAAAAATATTAATTAAATCTTATGTAACACAAATACAAAACCGCAAACCAAAGTTATTTTAATGAAGTACTGAATTCAGTGGTGCAACAGCCCATGAGGGCCAAGGCCCACTGTGCCCGTCTCAGCTTACGTGCCTTAGCTGCTGGGATGCATGTGCGGATGTTTCGGTCAAGTGGATTTTGATGTAGTAGGTTTTATAAAATTTATAACAAATACTCTGCCTATTAAAAGATTTCCTTTTCTCCTGCACACACAATGCATATACAATCTCCTGCACTTTAATTGTTAAACATGCTTCAGAATAAAGTCAGTTACACCAAAAAAAAAAAATGAATATAAAGTGATTTTACATGAAATATAAAGTGGAAAGTCACACAAACACGAGAAAAATACACCCTAGTAAATAAAATAGAAATAATTTAATGATTCTTGAGTGGCCTGACACCATTTCATCCACGGACCGGGGGTTGGGGACCACTGCCGTATATCACTCGCCTTCTTTAACAGGAATGAGTTTACTTTTATTTTTTCTCCAGACATCACCTCACAGCTGTTCGGCAACCGACTATCCCTTAGTTCTGTGGTGCAACGGAGAATATTAGGGATCCTCTTCATACTAAGATTTTGCCTTTAATATTTTATGAATTGGTTAAATATGTACGTGGCGTTAGTCGGGCCTCGGGCCCCTTAGAAGTCTGCCCTCCCGTGATGTGGGGGTTGCGTCGGTGTATGTTACGCCACTGCTTGGGTTCCTTCTTAGCAGTCATTTTGGCTTTTTTACATCAGTTTTAACTTCTAGTAAGTAGTTTCAATTAAATTTTTTTATTTTTATTATTTTGCACCATTAACTCGAATTTTGAGCAGCTCGTCGTCGAAATGTTGTTTCATGCCAATAGACCATGACTCTTTCTACAATACTACAGCTTACTTCCCCATTTTAAATCAATGAATGAAAAAAAAATAAGTATATTGACACACCCAAACATATCACAAAGTGCAACTTACAAATTCAAAGCCTGTTGCACGCGTCTCGTGCCTTGCGACGCAATATTCAAAACGAATCGGAGATGTATTTCATACTTTGCCAGTTTCTCACCAGGCATTCTATAGAATGCCTTGTCAGTGTATGAAGTATAAATTATTAGGCATTATATAATCTTTAAAGTTTATATACATTTTGATATTTACTACGCACATTTTGTTTATTTCAATGTTTGTTATGAACAATTATTTCTTCAAATTCTATTCCTGTGATTTCCGTTGGTTTGGTTCCTTATAGTGTAGTAAGCAGATTACTCTTTTTGATATTCTTGTCTTGGGACATTTAGATGTTTAAAAAATTAATTTTTTAAAGCTTTTAAAGCTATCCCGTTTCTTCTAAGTAGGCATGATTAATTTTTGTCTCTTTAGCAGTATGAGGACTTTGATAATTTCTAATAAAAGCATCACACGCACACAAGACATTTTTTAAATACCTTCTCTTCAATATATTGCTTCTTCTCCACAGCATAGGCAACTAAAACTTGTCGCCTGTAGATGGTGTTTTATTATAAGAATTTAGTTCCTTTGTCTAATAGCAAATAAACACATATGTATTATTAATCTAACTATATATAACATAATCTCGTAGGGGCTCAAACTACTCTTTGTAAAAAATTCATAAGAACATATTTTCTTGCACTCTTTTAGCTCTTAATTTAAAAAATCTTATAGTTTGATACCAAATACAATCTAATATATAATGTATATAGTACATACATAAGGTTTATAAAGCATATTTTTCAAAACTGTTGTTTCTCATTGTTTTCAAAACCTTAACAATAGTGATACAATTGATATTGCCGTTTGTATGTAATAAATTCCACGAGTCCATGTAGAATGTATTCCGTGAGGGTTATTAAATAGCCTCCAAGGTATTTTGAGATAAGTATGAAATAAATTGCAATAAAGTATAATTTATTTTGTGAGCAAAGACTATTGTAGAGGAAAGTAGAAATATGACTAATATTCACATCCATATATAAATATATACAAGAGTAGTTTCTAGTAAGTATTATTGTGGCTATAAATCTTTCAAATTTATATAGCTAGCCTTAATTTGAAATGGAAGAGGTGCATATATTTGGATCGTATTTAAATGCCAGAATGAATAATAGTTTTTCCAAGAAATAATATTGCAAAGTTTCTATCCCAGATAGCAAATTCTCCTAGACATAAAATTGTTATCTCTCACACGAATAATAACAAATTTGAATTCATTTCATTTGAATTTATTTAATGAATTCAAAATATATTTTCCGATTTTTAATTGCTAGATGACAACAATATTCACATACATACATAGATAAACAATTTTGTATGTTCAGTTTTGGCATTTTACTTATAACTCTGTTAGTGTTGTTTCTTATCCCATCTGATGGACCGTGTCAGATCGAGGCCTACGAAATTTATCGTGGCAAGGGGCTAGATGTATGTCTGGTGTTAGCCACAGTTTTGAGCACCCTGCAGGTGACAGTACGTTTTGGCTGAGAACCACCCCGATTTTGGGGAAGAACACCCTCATAAAGGGAAGGTCAGGGCTTCTTACCTCTCTTCCTCTTCCACCGACCTCGCTAGAGGATTTGCGGCTAGATGAATATTTAGAGTGCCCCCTTACCGCACAGGCGCTATACATTTACAAGCTCCGATAATCGAGCTCAGGACCTACGGCACATTAGTAAGCGTCGTTAAGCATTATACCGCCAGGGTCGCTTCCGGAGTTGCCCAGTGGGACAACGGATAACGCGCCTGACTACGGTTCAGGAGATTCCAGGTTCAAATCCTGGCTGGCTCGGTGAAATTCTTTTTTTTTTTGAAAAAAAAATTACTTTAAATTATTTATTTTTCCCTATTTGTTTTTTATCATAAATATAAAAATAAGTTTAACACTTTAAGCGGAAAATTTTGTTGCCCATAATGTTCCAAAAAAGGCACATTTTACTTTATAATTGTGGGACGCAAAAACCCTTATTTGCTTTTTATAAGTACACTGTGCGTGCCATGAAGAATATTTAATGTATCTTAAAATAAAATTTTTTTCAAACTTACAAAATAAATTCATGTTCGTACTTTTTTTTCAAATGGGTGAGTATTTTGTATATATACAGTGGTGGCTAAATTTGTGGACACTTTTTTAAATTGTAATGTTTTTTAGGTTTGTATATGCTTATAGAAAATTTTAGGTTCCACAAAATGCAAATTATTTTATATCATTTTAAAGAGAATTTAATACTAAATTCAAAACAAAAGACATAATTCATATATTTGCAACGTAAAAAAGTTATGAAGCAAGAAATATCGATATACATTAGATACTGATAATAGCAGTGAGTTATCAGAATTTAGTGGAGTAGTCTTTATTTTTAATGACAGCCTCACATCGATGTTTCATTGAGTTAAAAGCATTTTTAAGCTCTTTATTTGTTATTACATGATGCCAGGAAACAGTTATATTCTAAATTAGTTCTTTTTTATTTCATGGGTACCTCATTCGGACATGGTTTTCAAACGGTGCTACAAGTGTTCGATAGGATTGAGATCAGGACTGTTTCCTGACCAGGATAACAATGATATTTAGTCAAAAAGCAATGACATCAAATAAAAGAGTAGACTGGACACTTGTGTGATGAGAAAGTGGTATTTCCTGTGTTAAAATTACATAACAGATGGGTAGTTCATTGACTACATCTGGAGACTGAAGGTTTTGTTTAAGATGTCAGGAGACAAATTTAATAAAAAAAATGCAGGAAAACGCCGAAAAAAGTGCACCACATCTGTTGACGACAGAAGAACAAAAATACTTTATCTCAGAGATAAAAAATTTAATGGACAGCCATCAGAAGTGATCTGAATGATGCTGCTGTTTCTGTCAGTTCAAAAACAATCAGGAGTAGATTAGAAGATGTAAGACTAAAAGGTAGAACTCCACGAAAAATGCCGTATCTCAATTTACAGCAGAGCTAAAAAGGACTACAGTGGGCAATGGAACACATTAATTGGACAAATGATTATTAGTCGCAAGTTATATGGAGAGACGAAACTAAAATATCGTTATTCGGTACTGATAGCCTAGAAATATGTAAGACGTAAAATAGCAGAAATGATACATCCTGACAGCATCCAGGCAACTGTGAAGTACCCACATAGTTTTATTATTAAGTCATGCATATGAGCAGATGGTATCTGTTGCCATTATCGACGGGACACTGAATGTCATAAAATACATTGACACCATTCTAGAACCCAAACTTCTGCCTTCCATCAGGGATCTATTTACCAAAAATGCTTCATTTATTTTTCAGTAAGATTCTGTTGTTCCTTGCCGCACAGTAAAGTAATTGAAAGATTAGTACCGTTCTAAGATCATTAAGTCGTTGTCCTGGCCAGGAAACATTCCTGACGTCAACCCAATCGAAAACTTGTGGCATTGTTTGAAAACATTGTCCAAATGAGGTACCCATGAAATAAAAATGAACTAATTGAGGTTATAACTGTTTCCTGGCACCATGCAATAACGAATAAAGAGCTTAAAACTGTTTTTAGCTCAATGAATCATCGATGTGAAGCTGTAATTAAAAATAGACTATTCCACTAAATTCTGATAACTCACTGCTACCATCAGTATCTAATATATATCGATAGTTATTGCAGCATAACTTTTTCTACTTTGTAAATATATGAACTATGTCTTTTGTTTTGAATTTAGTATTAAATTCTCTTTAAAATGAAATAAAATATTTTGCATTTTGTGGAACGTAAAATTTTCTATAATCAGACAAACTTAAAAAACATAAATTTAAAAAAAGTGTCCACAATTTTGGCCACCACTGTGTTTTGCATAATATATGCATACACCACTTGAAGCATGGTGTAGTACTAAATATCACATTGTAATGGTGAAAGAGGTGGATAGATAATCTATTTCCATAGACATATGCAGATAGATAGTCTGTCCCCATTACATTGTAATGGGGATATACTATCTATGGGCTTGTTTGAATTATACTCTTCCATTTTTATTTATTTCCAAGCAACAAATTGCACATTTCATTGCCAATACCTGTTCTTAATCGAATATTTTCAAGAGTCTAAATTCCTGTGTTCAATGAAAAATTCACGCCTTTGCCAGAATGAAAAATCTGGATGAGTAGTATTGCAGCAACTTGGAAACATTGCATTTTTTAAAAACACTAGTTTTAATAATCTCACAAAAAGTATTAAGGTATCCGACTACGTTCGGAACCATGATTTTTCAAAAGCGTATAAATGGATAATATTTATGATACTTAGTGTCACTTAGAATATAAAATGTATATAAAATTGTTTTAAGAATAGTATTACAATAAAAATTTATTTTAAGTACAATATTTTGACAAAAAATGAACATAGAATGACCCATTTTCAAAATATTCTCCTTTTGTGAAAGATGCTTCTATATTGTATAATAATATTTTGCCTGTATATAGCTCAGACCTCTGTAAAGAAGCTCGACTAGAATTTTTGAAATATATAACTTAAAAGTGGGTGTATCCATGTCTTACGACAACAGAAGGGAGAAATTATAAGAAAAAAAACGCCGATAATTTTTCAATGGGTTGTAACTCTGAAAATAATATGAATTTTTCAAAAATCATAGTTGAGCCTCTATAAAGAGGTCTGAGCTATAGACAGGCAAAATATTATTATAATAGAATCAGTTTTCACAAAAGGAGAACATTTTGAAAAAAGGTTATTCTAAGTTCATTTTTGCCAAAATATTGTATTTAAAATTATTTTTTTGTCAAAATGTGCTTAAAACAATTTTATACATGTATTCTAATCTAAGTGACATTAAATATGAAAATTATCCATTTATGCGCTTTTTTAAAATCACGGTTCCAAACGTAGTCGGATACCTTAAAAGTAAGCGCAAATCAAGCAGAAGGAAGAAAATATCATTGCCCATACAGCGTACGGGCAAACCAGTTAAGGTCGATTTTCGGAAGCCCGTACGGTGAACGGGCAAACTAGTTAAGGGGTTAAATAATCGTATTTAGAATTAGGAAACAAATAAAAAATATGAAATGTTGGATGTGTGGAAGAGAACACAAACTTTTGAAGTCTTACTCCTAGAAGCCACGTCTTTACTTTTGTATCTCGGCGTATTGATCTTGGTATTTTATATCAACAAAAGTCCTTTCTTCTGCGAAAGATCTTACTGAGGATAAGTGTCAGTTCCACACACCTCGCTAAAAGCTTCTGCTTTCCTCACATCCGCAAATTTACTTAGATGTTGAAAGAACATCAATATTTTTGCTGAGATTTAATACGGTGTAATCTCTGAAAATCAATCAAAACTAAATGTAATTCTTAAAAACATCGAAAATGTTTAAAATTTGGAATAATGTAATTATTTAGCGATGAGGAATTCAGTTACATATAACTATTTAGTTTACTTTAGTTCGCGTGTACATGGCTAACTTTTAGTTCATGATTTAATTGAATTTATTTTTGTTTTTGTATGAGTGTTTTTGGCTTAAGATAATTATATGAAGTTTGTAAATTAATTAATTCAGAGTCTACAGACACGTTATAACATTAAAATCAGGTAAATTTAAATTCTAGATAATTGAGAAGATTGTTATGTTTTAGGATGAAAACAGTTATGAACAGGATGAAACAGGATGTTATGTTTTAGGATGATTTTATGTTTATGTTTATCGATCAACCGCAATGTATTAAATTAAGTTAGTTTTATAAAACTATTATCTGGAGTTTAATTTAATACTGGATATTATACATAACATGCTGTCATTAACAGATGGGAATTTCGTTACTAATATTAGTTTTGCTTGGAATGTAATTAGTTTAGGCTTAGTAGAAAACTTGCTTTAAATGTGCTAATGTTTGTATAAAAGAGCTAAATGCGTACAACTTCTTCGATATTTTCTTTTTTGGGGGATGGAAGGGGGGTATTCAAAAATTTTAGATTACTTGAAAATCTTTTTACAGATAATTCTTGATCAAGAATATATCTAGCTGTATTGGATTATGGTTATGTTTATGCATTGATTGATATAAAAATATTGTTTATAATAACTCAATTATATACAATCAAGTTAATTATCAACACACTCATTTGTTTATACAGATGAATGATTTATGTTGTTAAAAACAAACCATTTGATCTGAAAAATAATTACAAGTAAGTTTCAACTTGAGTTATATGTTCAAGAGATTGAATTTTTCAGACAAAATTTTCATGCATGTAATTTAAAAAAACTTTGGCCAGTTACACATTAGACTGTGTATTACTTAGACGTTGAGACACTGCTTATATGATATTTGTACTAATCTGTGGTGACAGCACACACACATGACATACATTCACACTGATTACATACTTCACTAAAAACTTCTACCAGAACTTTACAACTATCGTTTAATCTTCAATAATGTCATCTCCATACATTCACATTATTGGCAATGGGTAAAAAATTGTAAATATTACATTAAAATAATTTTATAATATTTGAAAGTAACATTTCAAAGATATTAGTTAATTTTCAAAAAAACTTTTATTACTTTATATAGAAAACTTTAATAAAACTATAGACACTAGCAATTATATAAACATTGTTAATATAATTGCAGTACAGCGGTTACGAACTTTCAGGACAGAATACACCTAGACGATGAGAAATCGCATAGAAATACCTGGTCACAGAAACGTTTTCCTAACGCAGGAGGGACGATACAGCCAAACAAAAGAAAGACAGGAGAAGAATTAGAGGAGAAAAGTTTATCATCCTTAGT